CACTACTATTAGAAAAAGTGTTGTTACACAACCTCAGGGTGGCTGGTATCACACTATTAAAACACTGTCATTTTATAGGAGGCGGGCAGTGCAGTTGAGAGAGCAATGTGGAGATCTTTGAATGAAGCTTTACACCTGGCTTTTAGCAAGTGACGTTGGCCTTTGTTTTCATAAGAACTACATGGCCCTGATGTTCAGTGGGCTGAACGCCAGCAGTCCCCGTTCCAGCAGGAGTTCTGATACTCAGCACCTCTGACAGTCAGGCTCTGTGGTGTTAAATATCAGAACAAGTCTGAGCTGTTTCAGTCCCGCAGCCCTTGGGTGTAGTGCGCTGGCTCACAAGCTTCCTTTGGATTCCTCAGTCTCTAGCTGAGTTGGCATGTGGAAAGGGAATGCATTGTTGCTCCGAAGTGACAAGGCCCTCTGGCCTGTCTCGCAGCTAAGATAGCTCTTCAAGAGGTTCTCTCCCAAACAGAAGTGGCAGAAACACTTTGAGGAAGGGCAGGAGAACAAAGAGGGAAACTCTCTCTAAACAGGAAGCCTCAAAATCTTCATTAAAACTTAAGAACGTGAAGGTGCTAAGCTCACCTCCATACCCTCAAAGAGCTACCACAATAATATTGCTCAGCTGTTGTTCGTATTAATGTTGAGTAGCCTCCTCACAGAGCGAAAGTTGCCAAGATGGTACAGTTTTCACTATTCCCACTGCACAGGAATGAGCTGTTTGAAATTTGAACATAGAATCGAAACAGCCACCCAAGCTGTTATAAATTAAAGCTGCATTTTCAATTTTCACAACAGATGTAGAGTTACTATAAAAATGGAAAGGAAAGGGACCGCCCTGAAACAGTTTGTGCTCAGGTAGGCATTTTGAGAGACACAATAGTGAGAGATACAATTTCAGTTGCAAAGAGGTGGGAGGGTTGAGAAATTTAAACTAGGGGCAGAGGTGCACTCAGGCCCACTGATGGGAGGGGTGGGGACCCCTTAGAATTGCTGCTGGAGCATGCATTGTGCCATCCAGAGCCCTAGATCATGCACTTCAGCCAGCTCTGAGGGCGAGTGGGGGTTGCACTGTCTGCGCGGCATCAAGGGCTGGCTGTCCAGTCATGCCCCTTCCAGGAGTGTTCCCCCACACACTGCCTAGGGACCCAGAGATCCTGTTGGCACCCCTAGTTGCACTACTGCATGTCAGCTGCTGAAAGACTTGACATGAACTCTTTGACATTACTATGGCGTCTCACGTTAACTCCTATAGGTGGAGAATTGAGCCTTAATTTTTTAATGGAAGAGTTTAGCTAATAGCTGCATCTACTAGCATCTGCCATTTGAGTCTGATCCTGTTTCCATGGAGTTTGTTGGAAATGTGGCCATTTCTTTAAGGCACGGGTGGACAATAATTTTTGATGGGAGGCAAAGTGGTCAAGGGTCTCAGTCTTCCATATTAATGGAAGAGGTGGGGGGTCTGAGATGGAGGCTGAATGCAGAAGGGAGCTTGCAGTAGGGGCCTGGAGTGTAGGAGAGGGTGTGTTGGCTGGGATGGGATTTGGGTGAAGGAAGCAGTTGTGACCTGGAGCAAGGGACTAGAGCGCAGGAGGGGTTTGGGCTGGGACAGTGGATGGGGGTGCAGGATCTGGGAGGGGATATGGATGCAAGGGGTGGCAGAGGATTGGGGTTGTGACATGAGGCAGGGTATCAGGGTGCAGGATCTAGGAGGGATATGGGCACAGCAGGGGGAAGGCAGAGGGTTTGGGTTATGTGAGGTAGGGGGCAAAGGGTTGGGGTTTCAGAGGCAGGCTCTGGCTGGGAGACTTACCTGCTTGACTCCCAGCCAGCAGCCTTTTCAAGCACACTCCCTGCCTGCCACACTGGTTACAGGGGCCACGTGGTTTTTGAACAGCTATGAGCCTGAGGGGAGTGGGAAAGGATGCTTCGCAAGCTGCCTGTTGACAACAGGGAGCTCCCATTGGCCAGAAATCGGCCAATAGGATGTGCTGGAGGTGGGAGCAGTGCGTGAAGTTTCCTCCCTCCGCCTGGCTCACAGCTGTTCAAACAGAGCCCTGCAGCAGTCACTTTTCTCAGCAATGTGTCGGGGGAGGGTAGGCGGGAAGCCTGCCTGAGGCTTCCCAATGCATCTGCAGGTCAGATTTGGTGATTTGTTTTACCCAGGCCTGCTTTAAGGGAAGGGGAGTTTAGAGTTTAATATATGCTGTATATGCAATGCTATTCAGAAAACCTTCCAAGATTTTTACGTTTTGTTATACATTATACTCTGTTTCTATCTTTAGATGCTGTCCTATTCCTGTGCCAGGGACTGCTAGAAGCAGAAATGAATTGTAGTAGAACCAATCAGAGCTCTTGACTGTAAGTTTCCCTGAATGATAATTACCAATGGTAGTTTCACAGAACTTGTCCTCAGCCACTTCATTAGCTATATTGGCTCCCATGAGCACGCTGACGTCTATCTTCAGTTTCTCTCGAATGATGTCTGATATGAGCTTCAAGCCTTCAACACCCTCATCAACCCCCTGGTTAAAAGGTAATATTCAAAGTCAAAAGAAAAGAAATGAGGTTACTAAGCACGTGTGTGTGTGAAATGTAGGCCTCATGCAATAAGCCCTCTGCTAGCAGTTCTCCCTACAATGTTAAATGCCAGGACTATGTCACAAGATTTTACATTATGGTGACTCTGGCTTTTGTATTAAACTTCCTGTAGTTGTACAATCAAGTTTTCATGTAGTGTAAGTTTAAAAATATTCTCATGCAAGGTTTAAACAATACACATCCTATGAAAGGCATAGCTCCAGTTGTATTTATATAAGGAAAAAAATCAAAGTGTGGTATGCTCCCTCCCCCCTATATTGCTGGTTGCAGGAGAATCTTAAAAGGGGAGAAGGCAACAGCTGGAGAATTGTAAGTCTGAAACTCTTAATATATATTTTTTTCCTTTTCAGATTACAATGTCGCTAGCTTCTTTAGCTTTTTAATATAGCCTCCCCAATTCCAACTGCAAATCATTTCCACTCTGAATAATTATTGTTGTCCAATTTTTTGGGGCTCTCAGAAAACAGTCTTGGATGGAGAGAGTATATGTAATAAGCTTTAAGGCTTGAGACTCGTAGCTCTTCAGCATTAACGTAAATGCTGTTATCCTGGGCTGAGAAACAGAGTTTCTGAATCTAGCCCCACGTTTCCCATAATGCGTACGTATTGCTTCACACCATACAAAGTGACTGCAGAGATCACAAAGTACCTTGATCAGTGAAATGCCAATTGCACCAGGTTTTATGTGACTAGCAATCTGGTCACAAATTCGTGTAATGAATTGATGGGGTATAACAAAGATGAAAATATCTGCCCCAGTCGATGCTTCGACAACATCTGGAACAGCCACCTAGAAGAAAAGCGAAGAAAAAATTAACCATCCCTGTACCATGAGTGAGTTAGCATACTTACAAAATAATTGTATACCTAATCCATCACAGAAGGGCATTAAAATAGAAATCTATATAGACTAAAAATAAAGGAATCCTTAAACTAATTAACATTGTAAAAGTGTTAGCCTTTAATAAGCAGGTATTGTATTTCAGTTGACAATGTCCATGAAGGCAGCATATCCTAATTTATTAAATCACTGTCTCATACTAACCCCATGGAGATAAGATGGGAAGTATAAAACAGCCTACAACTGCATTACCTTCCCAAGTGACCCCGGTAATACAGTTGCATTGGAGCCATACTGTCAAGAACTGGAGGCCTAAGGCCACACTTTAGATGATTCTGATCACCTGTGACTGTCTCAAGGCCTATAGGGATTTGAGGGTTTGTGAACATGCGGGAGGTTACTCTCACTCTGATGGAATGATCAGGGAGAAAGTCTGCCAAGGATCTTTATAGCTATCCTGCCCACCCAGGCTTTACTGCAGGAGATAGGCCAAATCACTAATATTTGCAAAAAAAAATTAACATGAATATGCCAAGGAGATGGCAAGCCCAACCCTGTCCCATGCATAAACCATTCCAGCTGGAATTAACAAAACAACCAGGGCTTATAAAGAAGGCAGCAGCTGAATTTCACTCTGCCACAGCTACCAGTAGCTTTACTGATAATAATAAGAGAACATATTCCCCTAAGTGTGAGGTACACGCCATAGTCTGAGCTGAGTAGAAATCCAACAGCACTTTCAGTCCCACACAATACGAATCCCACAGCTACACTGTAGCTCTCTGCATCAGCTCCTTCGAAGTCAAGGTTTCACATTCTTTTAAAATAACTAGCCTAAGCCAGTCAGACCTGCATGAATGGGGAAATTCCACCCTGTCATAGAGCATAGTGGAGTGAAGTCAGCCATCAAAAACAGGATTTGTTTTTGATTTGTATCTAATTAAAACAATCCCTCCTAGAAAATTGTTGCTGTGCTCTTCTCCCATAGCTTTGTCCATCCAAGGTGAACGTGTATGTTCTGCACGGATGAGGGTGATACAAACCCCAGCATGGGAAATATCTACTGTAGAGTGACAGGGTCTCTGCTGATTACTGAATCCAGCAGATTAAAAAAGGCACAAAATATGCAGGAGGCTCCAGAATGCCTAGTGGTGTCCTTTACCTTCCAGTATAATTCCCTTAGCTCCTTTCCCTTTGTGTAGCATTGGGATTCTTCTTTGGAGTAAATATCTGAGCTTCACCACATCCCTGTAACTATTCTTCCAGCAGGAGGAAAGAAGCCTGCACACACTCCTGCCCCACAGTGCAAGGAAATCTAGCATCTCCATTCTCAGGCCCATAAGCAGGAAATTTCTGTGGGGGAGATGCTTTTTTTGAAAATGTGGATTGCAAGGGTGTGAATGCAACCTCATGCCGCTCCCTCTCTCCCCAGTAAGTGAGGAAATCAGTCCCAGCCTTCCCCCAGCTAGCCAGGGAATGGGGGAGGGCAGCCGGCTGGTGTGCCGCTCTTGCCTTCCCCTGGCTGGCCAGAGCATGCTTACTTGGGGGACCATAGGGGAAGGTGCTTTCTCACCTTTCGCACACTCACCCCTGAACCAGCAGGCAGCATGAGACCAAAAGCAAGGAGCTGTGAGTTCAGTGAAAAGGTAGTTGATAACAGGAAGATAGGTGGTTGTGAAGGTAGGCATTGGCATTTAGAAGTAAGGCTGACCCATGGTCAGAGGAGTTCAAAAGTGCTGCCGGAGAATGTATGTTGCACTATGGGAATGAAAGTGGAAAACTTCTTATTTCAGTACAGGTTCATGTGCATTGACTCTGCCACTGTGCTGATAGAACTATATCAGCGGGGACTTATGTTCCTCCAAAAAGAGGAATAACTGGTTTTGTCAATAAATGACTAAATTAAGCATGGATATCTGCCAGGCTGTGCTAGGGAAAGGCCGATTTAGCCGGTATAATTTTCAAGCGTAGGTCAGTTTGACAGGACTAAAAGACTGGCTTTTTCTCCTGTCATGTCACTGTAAAAATAATCAAGGTTGTTCATGTCTCACTTGGTGTTGGACACAGAAGAACAAATCCACATATGGCAGTTTCAAACCATGTGTGTACAAACGTGCAATTATGATACTAAATTTAGAAAAAGTAATGAAGGAGGCCACTCATACAGCATGTTAATTTCTGTTTGCACAAATTAAAAGCTATTCTGTAAAGGCTGTGCTAGCTTCTTTCCTTTCCAAAACACTGCCATATGGCAAGCTACTGAACAAACAAAATGTCATCTGGTTTGTTTTAAACTAAGTAGCTATAAATCTAAAATGATCACGTTTCTTTAAGTTTATGAAACTATAAATTGTCTAGTATGATCACACATTCCAAGGGGCTGTGAAAGTTATAGTTTTTGCTTTTGGTAGATTTTATTGCATTATCAATTAAAGTGCCTCAGTATTACTATTCTGAAATCACATATGCAATTACAGCAATGCTATTCATTCTGTTATATTCCAGAGCTGTGAGCTTTTCTATTGAATTTTTAGCTAGAAATGGAAGGGGGGGGGCGTTGTTGTTTAGGGTGGATGCTGTGCTCACACAGCTGGTGTAAATCAGTACAGTTCTATAAATGCAGTGGAGATATGCTGATTTACAGCAGGGCATGCTCTTGGGCTTTGTGTACAGAAACACAAATATAGCTGGTTTGTTTGAAGTTGTATGTCCTTTAGATGAGACAGTCATATGCAATGCAAACAGCAGGCCAGATTCAGAAGTAATGCAAATGTTAAAGTTGGGTAGAAAAGAGATGGAAGTAACCTTAATACTTGGCATGTACACAGGATGAGACAGTAAATCCACAGATAAGGTTTGCAGTGAAAGCAGGATTAAAGGCCCTCTAATTCATACTTTAATGTCTAGTTGTAAGTGATCCAAGCAATAGGGATACCATTTGAAGAATTAAGGTCTAAACAAAGAAGTGTAGCTTCCCTTCACCCAACCAATGATCTCTCCCTAGTGTTAAATTGCTTCTAGGTAGGTAGGTAGGTGTACGGCAGGACAAAGGTTTGGATATTTTTAAAGTAAACCAGGGATTGTGAAATTCTCAGTCTGCCCCCACCCCCATCAGTCTGAAAACTTTGAAAAAACATTTCAGTTTAGCCAACTTACCACATTTTTAGGTAACTTATGTCCTGGAAGATACTTCACGTTTTCATGCTCTTTGTTTATTATCTCTGTAAGTTTCCTCCCATTTATGATTTCTTCAAACACCCACATCTTCACAATAGGATCAAACCTGTTAGACTTCTGGATATTTTTGCCTATAATTTTCGCAATACCAGACCCCCTGTATAACAAAATAAAACACTTAGTAACAGTATTCTGTATATTTGTTTTGATACAATCTCCTTTAGGAAAGTTGAGTAACCTTAGTTCCAACAGAAACACAAACTGCAGTGAGCAAAATACTTCTACCTCATGAAAAGCCCTCATTACAGATACTGTTCATATGCTCACTACGCCCAACAGAAAGCTCTTCCCAGAAAATACCCTCTCAAGATACAGAGAAAATTGATGCTAATTTAAATACAAGTGTGCTCAGAAATCAAGGGTTAGCATATCTTGGTTTTTAATTTTGAACTTTTACTATATTTTTGCTTCTCAGATATTTTTTCTTTGCTTCTTTAAGGTAACCTGAGTGAGAAGATGCTGAACAATCTGTATGTAGCAAAATCTATATATCTTACCTGAAATCAGTATCAAACTGATACTATCAATTGCTGAATACTTGCACTCCAAGGGGAGGAGGCCTGCCTGCGGTGTGGTCTAGCTTAGCTAAAGGGACACAGTCAGGTTTGAAAATCACTTTTAAAGTCTAACCATTTGACAAACAAGACCTTAGATCATTAAAAGCTGAAACAACTGTAGTCATCTAGTGGAAGAAAATAGTCACAACCATATATACCAAAGGATACAATTTAAAAAAAAGTGAACACATATGAAAAGGACAAATCACATTTCAGAACAGAAAGGAGATGCGGAGGGAGGGGGAGAGGAAGGTAAATGTCTGTGAGCTAATGGTATTAGAGGTGATAATTGGGAAATGTCAGAATTCCTGC